TTTAAGCTGCAACCTAGAGTCACAATATGAAAATCTTATGTATTTTTCCTAGTTTTATAAAAAATTGAACAATATATCAATTTTGATTTTAACGATTTCAAAAAATTAAAATATCTCATTTAAACGTCAAGTCAAGTAGATACCGATACCTTACAAAAACTTGATTCCGAACGTTCAATTTGTATGGCAGCCATATGCTATAGTCATCCGACATTTGCCTTAAGTAATAATCAATGCCGAATTTCGTAAAGATACCTCGTCAAATGAAAGAGTTTTCCCCCCACACACTTGATTCCGATTGTTCAGTTTGTATGGCAACTATATGCAATAGTGGTACGATATCGGTCATTCCGACAAATGAGCAGCTTCTTTGTAAGAAAAGGACAGGTGCAAAATTTCACATTGATAACTTAAAAACTAGGGACTAGTTTGTATATATACAGACAGATTGCAGGTTGCACCGAAGCTATAATACCCTTCACAAATACAAAAGGTTCTTTAGAAGAACTTGATTCCGATCGTTCAGCTTGTATGAGAGCAATATGCTATAGTGATTCGATCTGAACAATTTCTTCGGAGATTCCATTATTGCCTTAGATACTGATCCGTTCCAAATTTCGTGAAGATATCTCGTCAAATGAAAAAGTTGATGAGAAACGGTCATATGCTAAATTTAAGATCGATATCTCAAAAACTGAGAGAATGAAGACAGGACCCCCAGCATTCCATTGAACAGCTCTGGCCCTATAAGGAGAGGTTAAGGCTGCTTCTCAGAACATATGGGCAGGTAAACCACCTGAACTTACATCAAATTTGGTGCGTTCTATGAATAAAATACTGCAAATCATGTTAAAGGGTAAAGGTGCACATACAAAGTATTAATTTTCCTTAAAGAGTGTTAAAATGTCAATTTATGCAAGCTGTACAATTTTTTTTGGCCTTCGAAATTAGAGTTATTTTCGATTTTTTATTTTTTGGAGAAAACTGAATTTTTAAAAATAAGTTTTAATTATATTATGAAAACTAATAAATTAATAAACTTTTTCTCACTTTTGGACGCAACTGAAAAGTTTTAATAGTTGATGAGATAAGTCACTTCAAAGTCAAACCAACCATAACCTCCCTGTACAAGTATGTATGTATGTACCAATTTATTCAGCTGCCAAACGATTATTAAATCACGATTAAAATAGCTTCTATTTGCCACATTCATCGCCTTCAATGAACTGCTTCCCCACTCATTTTCAAAATTGCCAACTTCATTCATTCTTTCATAGGCGCTTTGTGGCCATGCATGTCCGACACAGTATGTCATCCACCTGCCATGTCTTGCGGACCTATGAAAACCACTACTTGCGCGTTGTTGTTTTTACTTTTGCCTCACGCGTACACTTCATTAATAAACAATTTAAATAGCTCAATGATTTATCGCGGCTAATAAAAATTAATTTCCACTGACAAATATCCTCAATCATGCAGCTATAAATCAATTCCAACCTGTCATAGTCACTCACAACAGCACCTCCTTTCGCACACGTACTCATACAAACATAAACGAAATATGTATCATGTGGTTATTTTATTAAACGAGTACACTTGCTAAATTGTTTCCCCCACGGTGCTGTGTCAAGCGTATTTTGCTGGCAGTTGCTTTCAAGCGCGAACTTGTCTGCCGCCTCCTCATTGCCATTTATGTATGCACCACTAGGCTACTTCACTGTACCGGCATTCGCAAACTTGCATAGTTGGTTAAAGCGCTGGTTTTTCATAATTTACCAACTCGTGGCTAAATTACCGAGCGTGAAGCAAAAAAACGTTTTGGTTGTAAAAAAAATGTAAGTCACTTGCTGTTTTGTGTAATTTTCACCATTTATGCGTGAGTTTAGCGAGCGCAAGTGCGAACGAGTTGCGCCATTTTGTACACACGTCAACTACGAGTATTCATATGACAATGGCGGAGTTTTTGGCGCCGATAAATCACTGAGATCCGTTATTTTGACGTTTATTGGGCAATTTGATTTTACTTTGATTTTGACGTGGATTTATAAAGAGTCAAATTAGGAGAAATTTTTTAAATAATGTGCAATACATCAAAAATTTATAGTATATATTTAATATAAAAATAAATCAAAGCAAAATTAAATGAGGACTAATAGAGATTTTGTCTTGTAAATATAAAAAAATCGTAAAATAAAAACATTAAAATTGTATAACAAAAACGTGCTTTTTATTAAATAAAATTATATTTAATTAATACAATAAAGTAAAAGAAATTATTTATTTATTTTAATGCCTTTTTCTTAATGTGGTATATAGAAGTAACCGAACATTTAATACCCTTGCAACTTGCAAGGATCAAAGACGGGGAAATATCTTTAGGTGTTGGCAAAACTTTATATTAAACTAGGGAAAGTTCACTGCAAAGCAAAGGAACCAGATGGAATTGAAAAGTTTGTTATATGAGAAGTAGACGTGACCGATTTCGCACATTTTCACAGTTCGGATAATCATGCATACCAAATGTGGAATTGGTAATTCCTGAGATATATTGTAGATAGTCGGATTGGGTTCCGAGAAACATATGTAGCAAGTTTCATGGAGATATCTCAATGTTTACTTAAGTTATCGGTTGCACAGTCGGACGGACGGATAGACAGTCACTCAGAATTTAACTTATTTAACTTTATCTATCTCGATTAGTTTTAGGTGATACAAACAACCGTTAGGTGAATAAAACCATTATACTCTGAAGCAACATGTTGCTGTATAAGTGGAAAATATATGAATATCTGAAGGATTTAACGTACCAAAACAACTTCTTATCAGCGGGTAAATAAAAACCACAAATTAAATTTTTTTGTTATACGGTGCTTTGAACTATAGATGATTGTTATATATATATTATATATTGTTAAATATATTGTTTAAGGAGTTAGGTCAGTTCTCGAAAACGGTGACTTGACAATTTACAATGGTTGTAAGGAAATTTTAAGTGAAGTTTTATTGAACATGTATTTTAGTGAATAAAATTTTTTATTCTGTGACAAAATGGCTGTCACTGAATCAATTTTCGGAATTACCATTTTCAAGAGAATCTCTACGACACCGGTGATTCTGGAAACTCGTGCCATTTGAAACAAACAAAAAACGTTATCTTGATTTTGCTAGTAAAGAAGGTATGTTTTAAATTTACATCAAGTTTTCGCAAAATAGTCGATTTGAAAAAAAGATTTACATTATTTTACAAAATATTACCTTGAAGCTACAGTTGCAAGTACAAGTGAATTCGTGTATTAGTCTTTGAATAGGGAAAATTTTTCATTATTCTATCATTTGAATAATGGGTTTAACTTTAAGCGTACTTTAAATAATTTTATTCGAAAACCCTAAACTGGCCTTACCTCTTAAAGCAATAAACGAATATTATGAATTTACCAGTGACTCTTAAATAAAATAAACAAAAAAACCAACTTACATGCCACTAATTTAAGGTTATGTTTCGCATCATGTTATATTTTATATTTTCTATTGTAAAATGGACAAAAAGAGATTTGGACAACAATACACCTGTCCTAATTATTAATTAAAATAAACTTTACTATAAAACCTACGACACGTTGCTCCTAAATCCTCCTAAAAATAAACAAACAAATTTTCCGCATTTAACCAAACAATGGCCAACAATTTCAAGTTGGCGCTGATCAGCTATTTCAAAAATTAAAATACAAATACAAACAAAGCAAATGACAGGTATGTTTTGAGGGCTCAACTAATTAAATCCGCCTGGAAAATAGACCATGTACACTTTCTTTTCTGTTACACTAAGTAATCTGCAGCAGCCGATAAGGATCGGATGAGTAAGACATGCAGTTAGACAGACAGAGGCGCCGCCAACTTTGCCACCAGCGTCGCGGTACTTGCAGTATGATTACGATATGATCTGCAAAATCGGATCAAGGAGAGGAAAATGCACGGCCTTTTGTAGAGGCAAAACGCTTTGTACATGTACCCATATCTAACCATATATATACATATGTATGTGGGTGCGGAACCTCTCACACAACCACAAGAACGCTAGTCAACTAGTCTACTAAACTCTTTTACTGCTTAACATGTTTGGCTCGTCTACCTGCACGAGCAGAAGAAAGCGTTCTTTATCGTCGTTAATTGTTTAGCGCACTGCTTATCTGAATTAATACTTTTTGCAATTCCCTAAAAGGTCGAAAAATTAGTGTATAATATTCCGTACTCTTATTTTTTATTGCACTTCTTTTTACTTCGGGAAAATGCTGTTTAAAAATCTTACTATCTTTTTTCTTTTCAAAACTTTGATGCGCCTTTATTGATAAATACAGCAATGTAATCGATACCTTTTTGAAAATAATTACTTTTTTATGTTTTGGCTAGTAAACTTTTCTTGCAGCTTGAAAAGAGTCACTCATGTGTACAGTTCGATTATTATCAGCAAATGCAAGGTGTGCAATTGTGGTTATGAAGCAGTGGGCATTCCCATATATTCGACATAATTCTAGGAGAGAAATGCATAATAAACTGTTGTTGTATTACTTGAATAACCCAAAAAGTAGCAAAATTGTATGGTTGCTGAGTGCTACCTAATTGCGTTCATTTCCTTTTTAATTTCTCTGCAAAAATCCCGTGATTGTTCTATACATATATGTATAACTTAACCTAACCCATATATAACCGCTTGTTGGTGTTCTAGTGGAGTAACGCTGCTTCTGATTAAATATCTTTATAGGGCACACCTATGTGATATTTTGAAAAAAAAAGTTCATGTTCTGATAGTTTATACTTTTAAAAATAACATACTCTAATTTCAAATCAATATAATATCAAATCAAATAGTTTTTGAGTTACTTCCATTTGAAGAGTAAAACCTGAGTTCAATCAGCTTTAAGACGGTCATTCCATGTGACGGACTGTTTTTTAGGATTTTTTTTCTACGACCAGTAAATAGATAGAGCTTTAAATTTATTATATTTTATTAACATATATTTTGACAGTAAAAATATATATTTGAAGCTAAAAATATCATATAGAACATGAGTTACAGCGTTGTGTACACCCCGCCTCCGGCTGATTGGCTTATCTGAAACAAAAAAAATTAGCGGCGTCTTGAACTTGGAAATAATATAATATATAATGATAATTTTGGATTGATAATAGTCCCTTCCATGCGTTTACATATGCCTACAAATTTCAAGTCATTCGGTCAAACCTTTTTGAGATACGACGGAGAAAAGTGTAAAAACACACAATTTAAAAAAAAAACGCGTTTAAAGTTCCAGGTCTGCCAACTCAGCGCTCCGAACAGTTCCTTCTTCTAACTGCTGTGTCTTTAAAATGACTTCGAATTTTTAAAAATCACTTTACTACCGTATTCTAGACATGTTAAGAAAGCAATTTATGAAAAAAAAATCGATTTTTTGAGCCTATCACATGGATGACCCTCTTAAACGCGTTTTTCTCGAAACAGCATTTTTCGAATTTTCTGCAGTGATAACTCGAAGACAAATGATCTGATCCACATGAAATTATTATCTGCCTGTTTTGTATATAATTCTACCTATAATGACCAATTGGTTTTTTGATCTGATGAAAAATTAAGTCTTGGCAGGCTAAAAACAACAAAAATTTGGGGTAAAATTGAATTTTTTTTTAAAACGCTATCATTTTGTAAATTTTAATATTTTTTAACAATTTTTTTTGTACGGAGAATATCTTCTGGTGTTCGAGAATTTTTTATTTTTAGGTTTCATCCACGAAGAAGGCCGGAATCACTGCAGCAGTGAAGCACGCTTCTTTTGCGCCGTCGAAGATCTCGTATAACTCAAAAAATCAATAAATTTTATTTTTTTAAACTTCGCTGTGTATTCCTTAAATGTGTATAAATATACTCTGAAAATTTCAAAACACTACAAGTATATAAAAGTTTTTTGTTTTTTATTCCCAAAAATCGACGTTTTTTAAGCTGTCACACTAGATATGATCCTTCATTTAAAAGCCTGGCGATAAAAGCAAGGCCTATTGTTGGATCCTTAATATTTCTCAAAGCATTCTGAAAGTATTTTAATTACTCTTAATTTTTACAATTTTCTATTTTTTTATTTAATCTAATATTTACAGTTGCCAGAGTAACGAATATTGGTAGTTCCGTTTTATTCCGATGGTAAAACAGTGCTGCTATCATTCCTTACCGAATGTCTCGTTAGTCCAGACACAAACCAAACAATTGCATCAAATAGGTACACAGTGTCTTCCAAACTGTTCACCAACATATTTATTTTTTTTTTGTTCTTAATTTATAGTCATACCTATAGTTATTTAAATTTACGAACCTTAGTATCAATTCATTAATTCTTTATACTTATTTATTACGTTATTATCTGTGAATTTTTACTCTTTGCGCTCATACTTCTCCTTGTTTGATCCAAGAACGAGAGCTTACAATTTCGGCCAGTTACTGTTTTAATTTGCGTTTCACGGAAATGACGCCATAAAAGTATACAGGGTTGAGTTAAGCCCACGAACAATTAAATATTAACAAATAAATTTTAAAGATTCAATTGCAATTAATATATTAGGTGTTGGCAGAAACATTAAAATTTTAAATAATTTTTCATTTAAATCAATTGGACGAAGAAAAATTAGTTTTATTAATAGATAACCTAGTGCCTGTCCGATTCTTTTTTTTAATTACAAACTGTCGGTCATAGGAAATTTTTTCGATCAGACACATGTTTTTCATATTTTCAAAAAGTTGTAAATCAATTTCATTGAAAATTACCGAGCGGTTTTCAAGCAACAGTGGTCACCACTACAAAATACATAGTTTTGAAAAAAAAACTTATTTTAAGTTTGAGAAGCCAACTACACTGAGTTAAGAACAACTTACAACTTACGCTCATATCTCCGGAACTATTTGTACAATAAGCTTCAAATTTTCGGAGAATATTTCTAAGATATTATTCTTTAAGAAAATGCAAAACAAAAAACCGTTTTCTTTTGAAAGTTCTGACTACTCTTAACCCATAAACTATCTCTGTATTCTTGGTTTAATAATGCACCAATGACATTTATGTATACCTGCAATCCTTACCTTTTTATCTTGATCCTTTTTATCTCGTTTTATATAATTTGTTTATCTATATTTTACAATGATTTAATTACATTGTTTAAATTTAACTGTTAACTGCTTCGAAGGAGTAAAATGTACAGGAAGCTGTCTTCAACTGCATTAATTATTATTATTAATAATATTAGTATTGTCGATATTATCACAATTTGTGTGATCTCGTCAGTCCGGTGGATGACATTTCGCAACAGCTGGTAATGGAAAAATAGCCAAGCTTACCAACATTTGAATTTTTAAATATGCTCTAAACACTGGCAATAAGTTTTATATTATTTAACATTTTTGAACGGAGTGAACGTTTTCACATATCAATCTTATTATGTGTAATTGGTTTTTATTTAAAAACATAAGTTAATTAAATTCTGAAAATATACATTTAACGTATGATATTGCTTACATTCTAGAAAAATGTATTTAATACTGTGCAACACTGCGCTACGAATGACAATAGAACGACATAGACAGCGAGGAATTGTAAGAAGCAGTCACGCAGAGAAAATACCAAAAACGGTGAAGTATTGCTGAAGTGATGAAAATGCACGAGACGTAGACGAGACAACGACGACAGCGCGACGACGTTCAGATCAATCGAAAGAGAAAATTATTATTTGACTAACGCTAATCATAAAGTGGTTAAAAAATCGGAAAAAAACGTGAGTGCGGAAATTTATAAAACAATCATATTGGAACGTGCAAAAAATTTGTTTTGATTTTTGTAGACGTGTAAAATTTTATTGCCGTCGTTATTGCGGCAGGTGCGCTGAAAGTCGCGAGTTGCGCCGTCGTCGAAATCGAAATCAAAAACGTCGACACAAAGCATCGAATAATTTGGTGTGGAAAATAACCACACAAAAGTATAAATTAAATCAATTTTGGGTTTATCTGCTTAGGTGAGATTGCTTGTGTTTGATAGTTCTTTTTCTTCGAGTACACATACACTAGTGTGATAATGTCCATATATTTAGATATATATATGACATATAATGTAAAGTAGTACGAAAATTGCAACAGTTTCGCCACAGGCAGCAACAGCGCCAACACGCAGCGCCCCACACCTTTTCACCTACCACCCTCATCTTTTCCTCTTCATTTTTTTCACATGCATAGCCGTCGTTAATGACGTCGACGGCAGCGTTGCGTAGAGTTGTTGTCAGAAGACGACAAAGTGACGTACGCGTAATTCGTTTTTTTTTTACGTTTTTTGCTTCACCTTTACTTTTCTTATACATTCTTCTTTGAAAAGTGGTCAACATACTCGTATGCCGCATACTTGCGGGGGTGGTTTTGGCGACAGCTGGGTGGCAATGTTGTCTGCAGCGCTGTTGCTGTGCTGAGTTAAACGTTGACGTTAGCTGAAATTGTAACGGCGTGGCAAACCTGTCGTAGTGCACCCATTGTGTTGCTGCATTTTTTATTTGGCAAAGCCGGAGGAATGTACATGTGAAGCCTAATACTCGAAACATATGTTCTTTCTATTTTAGTGTGTGAACAAGAATGTAAAGATAAAAAAATTGTATAAGTAGAAATGAAAGATTATATATTAAAATCAGACGAATGACTGCTATAAGGGGATAAGTGAAGGGTGTGATATTTAAAAAAAAATTTACGAATTAAGTTCTTCAGAAAATTAGCACGCTACTTATTACTGGCGGTTGGCTAAGCTGAGTAGGTAAAATATGAGGTTTATTGTGAATTGAACAGCTTTTTAGTAATGATGTGTGTGTGAAGCCTAAAATAAATTCAGAATATTTGTGATACATTTGAATATTAACGAAGATCGCAAATATTATATTACATCAAACATATATGTATCTAACATGTGAATAATATAATCCGAGTTTTTAAGTGATTAATTTTGAAATTTCTTGTTTCAGAATAAAGTCAAAATAATAATATATAATGTGTGCTAAGTGTAGTGCATATTTCTAATTGAGAATGTAGTGGTGCTGGGCGCCTCTCCGCCTGGAAGTGCAATTAACAGTTAAATTTTCAATTTAAGTGTAAATAATCTATTTTTTATACGTGTACGTGTGTGTGCAATTCCGTATTGCACCGAAAAGCAAAAAAATTCCGAAGTCATCAGGTACCACAACGTTACAGCGTCTCAAGGCCAAGGCTGCAGGTGGTAGCGTAAAACGCAGTCGAACAAGCAACGCAGCGGCTGGGACAACGGTAACATCTAGTAATAGAGGAAGTAGTGGGATTGGAGGAAGTGCTCGTGCAGCGGGCGGTCGTAAATTTACTGCAAACAGTATAACACAATTGCAACGAAGTGGCGGCGGCGCTGGTCAGTGGTCAGCAGGGGCGGCGGCGACGACGGTTGGAGCGGGTGCTAGCACCGGAGTCAGTTCCTTTACAACGGCACCCGATTGCTCTTTGTTGGTTGAAAGGGAATCGGCATATTTGCAAGGTTTTCAATCACCAAGCTACAACACCACAAAATCATATCAACAACAACAAAACCAGTCCAATTACAACAATTCCCTCTATAACACCAATAATAACGCCAGTGCCAATTATTCAAATCACTCAACTTACGCAAATACATCATCGTCATCTCCACACACAACTACAACGCCTCATAACAAATTTCCAAGCGCCGGTGTTGGGGCAACGACGATGATGATGACCAAACATAAAAGCTCGCTCGCAGAGCGCCTTAACATTGGAGACGAGGTGCGCGATTTAAAGCTTGGCTGCACATACAATTCAAAAAATACAACGACCGCCTTTCACACTATCAAATGTAAGTATATGCTCATGCTTGTATATTTTATACATCGGGTTATTTATAAAAACTATACTCACCAATTGACAAATAAAATAACATTAACATTTATTCTCTGTATTTAACAGATGACTTCAAGCCAGCAAGTGTGGACAAAAGTAAAGTAGCTACAGTGGACGTCGGCTCCAATAATCAAGTTACCGTTACCGTGCCAAATTTAGGTGAGTAGAGAAAAAAAAAACCATATATGGATACTTCAAAATTTTACATACAGAATAAGGGAGGAAAATATGTATAAGTATATAAGGGATCAAGTCTTAAACGAGAAAAAAATAATAATTATATACATAAAATAGACATCAGTCTAAATTAAATGCATACCAATCCTTTTCAACCTAAAATGGATTAGAGATGATTTTCTTACATGCCTTTAGTCCTTTAAATTAAATCCTGTTTATTATGTTTGGGTATTTTTTTTTAACCAATTTGAAAGTTATTCCTCCGTTTTCAAAATATAAAAATAAACCAATTATAAAAATAGATTTTACTTATTTAATAATTTTTAATATTCGATTCCGACCACACGTGCCGTCAGTTTTTTAAGTAAAAAAACAGTTGTTAAATATTATGAACTTGAAGCTTTCCGATATGGAGAGCTTTACTTAATTTTTGCACCATAAAAAAATATAGAATGAAAATTGAAACTTATTTTGACTGCGACTGTAGCGTTAATTTTAATTTAAACAAGTAAGGAAGGGCTTAGTTCGGATGTAACCGAACATTTTATACTCTCGCAAAGTCAAATAGTATACTCGTTTGAGATTTCTTTTTGGATTGACTGATATTTTCGGTAGAAGGTCAACTATAGGCACTGGGGTCCACATATTTAGTACTTAGGGGCTTGAACAGTTTTGGTTCGATTTAGACAATTTTTGGCCACAAGGTGGCATACTTTAATCGCATTATTCACGCAAAGTTTTATCCCGATACAGTCATTCTTGCCTGATTTGCATAGTGGAAAGTGAAAGAATCAGATTGAATTTAAAATGGTGTTTTATGGGAAGTAGGCGTGGTTGTAGTCCGATTTCGCCCATATCCGCACTATGACACGTTATGCACCGAATTTGGTTGAAATCGGTTAAGCAGATCTCAAAATATGGGTTTTCACCTAAAAGTGGGCTGTGCCACGCCCACTGTCTCATTTTGAACGCGGTTCCTATAAAGTCATCTCATACCATCCCAGAGATAAAATTTAATGTCTCTGGCGTGTTTAGTGCTTGATTTATCGCACTTTTAGTAGTTTTTAACAGTACCGTTATATGGGGAGTGGGCGGAGTTGCCACCTGATTTCACCCATTTTCACACTGTAGGTAGAGGTTCTAAAACCATTTGCTTCCAGTGAATTTTGTTATTATTGCATTAGCGGTTTAGGAGATATGCACATTAAACCTATTAGGGGCGAGACCACGCCCACTTTAAAAAAAATTTTAACTGCAGATGCCCCTCCCTATTGTGATCCTGTATACCAAATAAGCGTCTTGTATCTTGTTGTGGAGCTTAGTTATGGCAATTTATATGTTTTTGAATAATGGCGTTTTGTGGGCGTGGCAGTGGTCCAATTACGCCAACTGCAATACCAACCGTCTCACGGTATCAAGAAACATGTCTACCAAGTTTCATAAAGATATTTCAATTTTTACTCAAGTTAGAGCTTGCACGGACGGACGGAAAGACAGTCACCCGGATTTCAACTCGTCTCTTCATCCTGATCATTTATATATACATAACCCTATATCTAACTCGATTAGTTTAAGTTGATACAAACAACCGTTAGGTGAACAAAACTATTATACTCTGTAGCAACAGGTTGCGAGAGTATAAAAATATACGTGCATATAATAAGTTTGTATCTACAAGTATTTTTGCTGATAGGTCAAGAAATGTTTTTTTTTTAGAACTGCTGAGGAGGCAGTATCTTCTTAAGTAAAGTAAGTACTTTGACATGATTAAAAAAGCTAAAGAATGGAAAAGCTAAAATGTTATGCAGTTTTCAGTGGTAAAATGTATTGCTCAAATCTAACTCGGCCTGATGAACTTAGAAAACTTATTTCGGACTAGGTGTCACTCTCATTTACCACTAATCCTATATTTTTATATACAGGTAGATATTCAAAAAGTATTTGGCATAAATACCATAAAATACAGGATTAGTAACCTAAACTCCATTTGGATGTTTTGTATGTTAAAGTTGTGTTTGACATGATTTATTCTCTATATGAATATGACACATCGACCTATTAGAGAGCCCTGTATATACAATGAACACATACGTACAAAAAAAAAATGAATTGTGCAATAATGTTGTTAATATTGTAGGCACGACAGGCAACTTTGTTACATTTGCATACATATCTAGCGTTCGGCTGCACACACACTCACATTTTACAATAATTTCCTGTTTTCTTTAAGTATTAAAAAAACATTTGTTGCTAAGATTAATAAATTTGTTTAATATTTTGAATATAACATAGTGGATGCAAGATTATTAATCCACTTTAAAAAGAATTTGTCGAAAAATAACATCCATTTGTCTTCTATAATTGTTTGTTAACCGCGCTCTGCTCAGTTGAATTCAAGTGAGTGCGTTTGCAAGCACTTTTGTTTAACATACAGCTATCAGTTCATACGTGCCTTAGCATAAAGGCGAACAACTGGCTTTACTTTGTCCCTCTGCCCCAGCAGTCGAGGCTGACACTCCGACGATAATCAGCTGACTTGTTACCCTGTAATGTCAGACTGATTGACATTGATTGTTTTCAATATGTTCTGTATTTTACAATTTTCTGTTGTCAATTTCAATATTATTGTTTTCATAGAGAATCGTAAATTGAGTGGGAGTTTAAAGTACAGTGATGTGATCCCAGTTCGTGAAGTAATTGAGTTATTTTAATGTGATTGTGGTTAAAATGTGAAATGTTAGAATACTGGAGATTTGAAAAAAGGTTACAATTTAAGCCAAGTTTCGTACAATAATTTTTTTTACCTAACCTTAAAAATTGTCAATGTGAAACTTCCGTTTTATACATACATACATACTTGCATATTATTCAATTTATTTCCGGCTTTAATTGCATTCTGATATAGAAACTAAATTATGTACTTTGTATTGGCACTCCTCGCCTTATGATATAGAACAATAAATAAAGTACATAGTTGCCTCATAATTAGAACCAGATTGAATGATCAAGTGAAAAGTTGCTGTATTTAATGCGGAAAAAAAAAATAAACTCATCAGAACTCGAAACAAGTTCATTAACAAAACATAATCACTAACTCTGCTGGTTGGCAGAATGTAATGAATGCCGAGCTGAAAGCAATCAAAGAGGGGATGTGAAAGTGGAGCGCTTGAAAGTGCACCACACTAAGCTTGTTCTACAACCAGTTCATATATGCACGCATACATACATATGTACGTTTGTGCATAGTTTACTGGTTTAATTTCGCTGGCTGGTTTATGGAAGGCAGAAATGAATCAGTGGTTGGTCTAACTTGTTAGCTTACAAACATGTGCACATAACAGCCAACTGCTGTGATTTTAAGTGAAATTGTAGCAATGTACTTGCAAACATCTCCACCTGTGCGCACACACTCACAAATGCATACATATGTACATATGCTTTTTAAAGTGAAACTTTTTGTAAATCGCATCACATTTTTTTCATGTGTGTGGTCCAAGCTCAAATTGAACGTATTGGCAGCTATAATCATTTTGTCTGCTTGTTCTTTGTTGTAATATTTTCACTTTTCAACGTTTTTCTTTAAATTTAACATTTTTAGTATTCTATCTTGGCCTGCAGCAATCGCTTCTATTTTCTGCTAAATTTTTTGCTCTTGTATTGGCAACAATTACCGGCGTCCGGACGATTAGCAGTTAACAGTTGTTGGCTGCCCATTACAGTTCTGCCTTCCGCACACACCAGCCAATTTGGCTTTTTGTTGCTTAGTAGCTTTCTCATTTCAACTTCATATTTTGTTTTGGTCATATGCATGTACATATGAACATTTGCTTCTAGTAACCAGTGTTTGGGCAAGCTGTGATGCTAGCTTATACTAATAGCGCTGCAAATATATTACTAACCATGCCAGCTGTGTCTATAACAGTTGCTGTCTTAAATTTTAGTATAGTCAACTAACCGTAAACTCTAACTTTTACATAAAAAATATTATAAGTTCGTTTTGTTTTATTTCAATTATTTGTTTATTTATTTAATTTGCTATTTTGCTCACTTAACCTGCATAAAATTTATTCATTTTCTGCTTCACTGCTGGTCTTTTTTTATTTCTTTACCTCCCACCGCGTCGCACCACATTTATCCACCTATTCTTTCGCCGCTACTCTACAATATTCACCCACATACATATACATACATATGTACATACCCATGTATCTGTGCTGGCACATAGCTAAGCTTCATTAATGGAATTCACTGTGAACGCCTTACTATATGCATGGTTAGTTTACTATCTCATTAAACTTTTTTTCTCTCTTCTGTTTTTCGAGTTATTTTCTAATGCTCCAAACTCATCGTTGCCTTCAATTGAGGTTACCCACTTTATGCCGTTTATATTTGCCTACAATATGTATTGTCAAAAGCAAATATTTATGTAATAGTCGCAGTGGTATATTTTCATGGCTCCACCTACTGCTATAAATTGTATTTTATTAAGTATTTTATAAAATTTCTTTTTATGTTAACGTTTTGAGTGAGTTGGCAACTATTTAATAAAATCCTTTAATTAACTAACTTGCGTTTGTTTAATTTTCTTAACCTCTCGTGCCTTAAGAAAAATGTATAAATATAAATTTCATCTAATTTTTTTAAATTTTGTATTCTAAAATATTATTTCCTAAATTTCTTATATTGACACATTAAATAAACTGTTTTTTCATATATGAAAAATTTCAATTGTTCTCATTTTTTGACTTCTTATGTTTGGAGGTTTTACATACATCTCAGAACATATTCCCTGTTCCATAAAAAAAAATTATTTGTTGCTGTTGTAACATGTGTTTTAGCAATTTTTTATATTTTATTAATATTATAACACCCAGGTATGCCGGAGACCCTTTAAACCTTATAAATGATCAGCGTGTCTGTGTGTCTATATATACGCGAACTAGTCCTTCAGTTTTAAGCTATAGATATGAAATTTCGCTCAC